CTCTCTCTCTTCTCTCTCTCCCCCCCCCCCATTGGCTCTTAAAGGCTGGATGACGTCTCCCGGGGCGGAAGGTCCTGACCCAGCCTCTGTCGGGCAGTCTCAGACTCACCACAGCCCAGGCTGGGCTCACTTTTCACCGGAGGGCCCACCCCCCTTCCTCGTTTGGCTCTTTTCCCCGTGTCTCTCATTGTCATCCGTCACTTTTGGGTCATTCACACAAAACTTGCCCTCGGTCAAGCTCTGGTCCTCTGCTCTCTGGCACTCGGCCCCTCTCCTGCCGCCACACGGGCAGGGCAAAGACACGGGTTGGACCAGATCGTCCGCTTCCTAGGAAGCTTTGGGAGCCCCAGCTGTCTTTGCCATCTGGCTTCCAGCTAGCTTTCAATCCCAATTTCGCAGCCCTCCTTCCCTGGGATGGACTCTGCATCCGGTCAGAGTGGCCTTCCTGCTTTTTTCTGTAAAAAAAAGATGTTCCCCTCCCACCTCCATGCTTTTGCCCAGGCTGTGTCCTGTGCCTGGAACACGTCTTAGAACCTAGGCTCAGCTCAAGGATCCTTCCTGCCCGTGTCTCTCCTCCCCCGGAGTATCTTGGAAGCCATTTGCAGACCCTTTGGGCTGATTGGGTCAGTGTGTGCGTGTGTGCGCGTGCGTGTGTGCGCTCAGTCTCCTATCACGTCCTCCCATCGAGGGTTGCGCCTGGGCCCTGCACATAGCGGTCACTCTGTGCACACGCGCTGGCTGAAAGGGGAGCAGAGAGCAGATAGTGCTGCCGCCTTTGGAGGTGCGCTGCGCGGGCCGGGGAGGGGCGCAGCTGGGTGTCGGCAGCAGCATTAATTCTTGTTTCTTTTCCCTCCTCCAATTTCCACGTAGATACTTATTGCTGCCTCTGCACCAATATGCTTTCTGAAGTCCTCCTGTTTCTTTCTCAGTATTTGACTCTTTGTGGTGATATCCAGTTAATGCTTGCCCAGAATGCAAATAACAGAGCCGCGTACCTGGAGGAGTTTAATTATCAGACCAAGGAGGACCAAGAAATCCTGCACAGCCTGCACCGCGAGTCCAGCTGCCAAGGTAGGCCACGACGATGGTGGATTGGTCTGGCGGAGAGGGGGTGCCTTTCACCACCCTGACTGTCACAATGTCCTGTGTGTTAGTACGATGTACCGCTCTTCTCATGCAGGGGTGTGTTGGAAATCTTTCCTAATTAAAAATAATAATGATACCTAGCATTTCTGTAATACCTACTATGTACCAGGCACTTTTTTTGATCCTCAGCAGCCCAGGGAGGTGGCTTTGTTATTATCTCCATTTTACAAATGAGGAAACTGAGGCAGGCAGTGGTGAAGTGACTTGCCCAGGGTCACCCAGCTGAATTTGAACTCCAGGCTTCCTGAGTCCAGACTCTGCCTGTGTCCTGTGGCGCCCACTAGTGGCCTCTGGGTTATATTTAGCAAACAGTTGTTTTTGACTGAGTAAAAGAGGCCATTCTTTGCCTCAGTTTTCACCTAGCCTTAATCACTGAATGGGTGCTGCCTCGGACAGACTCAGACCCGGGAAAGGTTCCCCGCTGCGTCCCGGGCCATCTCCAGTCCCAGGCTGGTGACTCTGCACAGCCCTCCCTCACTGTAATCCAGGGTGCTTGCAAGTCCTGGCATCGTCTTCCTGATGTCACGGTCCTCTTTGAGAGTGAAAGACAGCAACAGACATTGGTTACACACATCGTGCAGATTCTCGGGATCTCACGGGATGATCCTTGGGCCAAGAACATTTCTGTCTTCTTTTTTACTTTCTTCTTTTCATAAAGTTCTCCCATCTAACTCCTCTTTGCCACAGGCTTCCTCTCTGGAGAGGACAGCGCTCGGTGAAAGCCAGTTTAATAATTACCTTTCTGGGGGCTGCAGGTGGGCTCACTTACCTTCTGTAGCTATGCAAATAATGTCCTTTAATTCAGTCTTAATTAAGATTTACTGTTGCAAGTCTGCCTGCCTTCCCTGGCCCAGTGAGGGAGGGGAGGGACGGGACAAACCCAACCCCGTTTGTGGTGCTTGTCAGGGTGGCTTTTATCTAACTCTCCAGAAGTGATGAAATGTCCCAGTGTGTGACAGGAAGAAGACAGAAACATGAAGAAGAAAATAGAATGTGGCGTTTTCTCTGAGGTTCGTTTCCTCTATAAAATACATAGGGGCATTATATGTCTGTGCCTCCTCAGCAGTGTCCAAGACAGATTTTTTTTATGATGAACTCGGTGGCAGATTCCTCCCTTAGAACATCCTCAAATTACATTCGTAGTTAAAGTATTTATCAAAGCCCAGTGCCTTTCACATCTTAGGTGATGAGGGTTCATTCAACAGAACCTGTGTTTAAGTGTGACATCGATCACCATGTGTGAGTGACATGTAGCTGAGCCTTCCTGATGCCTTTCCGTCTGGCGTGTGGTGACCGCGATCCTCAGTCGCTTAGACTAACAGCCTTTCTCTATTCTGATCAGTAGACCGCTGTGGACGTAGGGATGTCGCCTTATGCCTCAAACCCTGTTTGGCCTGTGCCGGCAGAGCGTAATTTACATGATGACTTCTTTAGGAAGCTTCTTCCATTCGTTTTTCAGCCTACCCTGCCTCTTCCCTTACTCCCAAACTTATAAAATGAAGAAGAAAGGAGAAGGGAAATTGGCCCAGTTGGACAGGCTGTGCGGGGCTCCCCACCCAGAACGAAGAGAGAGCTGAACCCTTTTGGGACAAGGTTGTCCCCTCCAACGACAAAGACTCTTCATTGTAACGTGCCAGTTTGTGGGCATCTTCCTGTGCTTAGTCACCTGGCCTAGGGTCCCCTCACCGTCTCTGCACCTTCCAGACCAAAACAGCCCTCACTGGCCACCTTTCCCCAAAGCCCCCTGTTCAGATGTAAGCTCCTTGAGGGCAAGGGTGGCCTTAGCACAGTGCTTGGCACATAGGAGGCTCTCCACAAATCTTTTTTCATTTCTGTCTGCCGCCCCTGGAGGCATGGCCTGCTTTCTTGTTGGCGATGCCCAGTGCTCCTGGCTGGGCACAGAGTACTGGGAGTGATCGTGGCCACCCTCTGCCTCTCCATCCACTGCTCTGGATTTGGGGAGAAGAGTTTTCCATCCCTGTGTCTGCGGAGCGTTCCCTGAAGACTTTCTTCTAATGTGGTTAGGGTCAGGTTGTGCTTCCTGTCTGGAAATGGTCCTGGCTCCTGCTGACCAAAGCCTCTTTCCCTGTTTCTTTGTAACAAGGACCTAGGTCAGGACAAAGGAGAGTTTCTCAGGAATTGGGAATAGAAACCTTTGATGGGATTCTAGCGCTGACCTTTTTGGTTCCTGAGTAACCTCCTATCAGTGCTTTGCACGCAGTAGACGCTTGTCTGCCTGTCTTCTCTTGTCTGCCCAAGGCCTTTATGTCTTCATTGGAAGCCCCTTCCTTACGTGCTGGTCCTCATGTGTAACATGGAGAGGGATGCAGCTTGGTCTGTCCCAAGAACATGTGTCTGTTTAAATTGTGGCACTGTCTTTAAGACTTGTGACTGAAGGGATCGGGGGTGTGGGTGTGTCTGTCTTTCTTTCTGTGAGTGTGACCATTCAGCTTCTTCCTGATCCTGTCCTGTGGAAGCCCCAGAGCGTGGGATGACCAGCTAGTGTTCAGTTTTGCGGTGGTTTATAACAATTGCTCTTATTTCCTTTATTTAAAGGGTTTGCTTGGGCAACTGACCTGTCGACAGACTTAGAATGCCAGCTTTCAGTTAGCTGCAAATGCTATGAGGCTGCTAATGAAATTTTGCTGTTTAGTGATTTAAAAAGCCAAAACCCCGAGCACTACGTCCAAGTGCTGAAGAGAATGGGGAACATTCGGAATGAAATCGGCGTCTTCTACATGAATCAGGCTGCCGCCATCCAGACAGAGAGAGTGGGCAAGTGTTTCTTCTCCCCCTGCCTGTCCCCGCCCCAACAGGCCAGGAGCTTAGTGACAGCGTCTTCTCAGGAGGGGTCAGGAAGATGACATTACTATTGGGGGGAAGCCTTCCAGAATCTGAGAGCTGGGCGACCGGGGAGCCTCACTTCACCAGCCCTGTCTTTAACTCGGCCGCCGAGTCTTGAGCACAGGTTTGGGAGTTGGGGCAGGGATTGGCCTGCGGCCCCCCCCCCCCCCCCCCCCAGCTAGGGCATGCCAGAGCCCGATGTGCTAGGAGCAGATGGTTTCCTGCCAGCTCACCTTCATACTCGTAAACAGTTATCAATACCGATTGGAAGCTCTGAGATATTGCCAGGCCCCTTTGATTTGATTTCCTAGCATCTGGAAGAATGCTATTGGCAGGCAGGTGAATGCTGAGGAGGGATGGTCAGGAGCCATTTCAGGGCCAGATGCGGACGGGATTTGGTGCCAGTCCAGTGTTCTTGCCCTGAGCCCCTGGATGTTTAGAGAGAGCAGCTTTCTGGGGTGGGTTTATCCTGGGACAAGCTGTGGAGTAAATGGCTTTTTTTCCCTCTGTTAAGTGAGCAAAAGTGTGTCAGCAGCAGAGCAACAGTTGTGGAAGAAAAGCTTCTCTTGTTTTGAAAAGGGAATTCACAACTTTGAGTCGATCGATGATGCCACCAATGCCGCGCTCTTACTTTGCAACACGGGCAGACTCATGCGCATCTGCGCCCAGGCCCACGGTGCCATAGCCGCTGCAGCTGGCGGTGAGGACGCGAGGAGGGAGTTCTCTCCTGAAGAGGCACTGTACTATAATAAGGTAACAGCCGGCTCTCGGCCCTTGGCATTAATGACCTCCCCGCGCCTCCAGGTGGTTCTGTAGAGTTTGGCTAATTTTCTCTCTGTAGCTTTCTCGGAGGTTGGTTTTTGTTCTTTCTGATTTAGTGGGTTCATTTCATCATGGAGTGGGGGTAATCCTTCCTTCTTCGTGTTTGAGTCTGTCAGGTGCGGGTTCTGGGACGGCTTTAGGGGTTGGCGAGGGGCGGGCCATCGGTTTGTCTTGGCTGGCAGAGGCTCTTCACCTGATAGACAACAAGATGGTGACACTTATGGCCATAGCACTGAGACTGAGTCTTAGGTCCCAGAAAAATCTCAGTCTGCTCCTGTGTAGGGAGGACCAAGCCCCTGGTTATTGAAGGAGGGAGAGTTGGGTCTGGTCTTTGAGTGATTGATTCATGGCCTGACCTGCCCCTGTCAGCGGTGGAGCCGTCTGTCCAGTCCGTGTGCCCCAATGTCCCAGACGTCTCCCTGCCCGAGGCGCCCCCGGTCACCAGTGGCAGCAGAGTCACTCTGGAGCGCCCAGGGGAGTGTGGAGGAGTCCTAACCACCACCCTGCCAAAACTGCATGGACAGGTAGAGGCCCCTCCTTCTGTCCCCGGTGCCAGGAATGTAGTAGGTGCTAAAGAGCCTGTTCTTGCCCAGACACCCCCTCCACCTGGAGACTGTCCCCGCCATCTTGTCCTGCATCTCCTCTGGCATGTTGGAGGCCTTCCTCCCGTCTCCTACGGTCTGTGACCAGCCATCGCCCACGTCCTCCTCACGTGCCATGCCACGTGGATGCAGCATGTCTTGGGGACGTGTGGTGGCCTGCTGAGAGTCATGGCACACCCTTCCGCTGATTTTTGTAGTTCTCGAATTTTCTGCTAAGTATTTTCTAGAGTCACAGCCAGATGGTCACAGTCAGGAGATGTCTGTGTAAGAGAGTTGTTTCCTTGGGGCAGCAGGGGGATGGGGAATAGCTTAGGGGTCATTTCCCAGGGTGATCCCTATTCATTCATCCCAGATAGGTCTGTGAAAGGAAGAGCTGCGTCTTCAGCTGCAGGTTATGGTCTGGGCAAGATTTGTTGGGTAGTTAAACCTGCCTCTTACATTGAAGGGAGTTTCCCTAAGGAAGTTGGGGTAGTGTTCTTGGGATCCCCGCAGGGAGTCTGAAGTTACTTGCAAAAAGAAATATTTGGAGGCTGTCTGCCTCAGCCTGAGTTTGGGGGCAGGCGCAGCATCTCCTGGGGTGTGGGTCAGGGGTCATATCCACCAGGGAGACCTGGAGAGGGTCAGCCTCCTCTCCACTTTGCAGCGTGTGTGCTCTGATTGTACCAAGAACACAGTGGTGTCTGATGCCCTCTGCCCTTGTCTGTCTGTTGTGTGACTGGAAATCTTAATGTTTTCTTTCATTCACCCCTTGGGTTTTGTCGAAGGATTCAGGTCCTGCCTCTGATACATGCTGGCTGTGCCGTGGGCAGAGTGCTGCGTGTGGGCTTCTGGGGGTCTTCAGTTGAATCCAGCATTTCCTCCAGCTGTCTAAAGTCATTCTTCTGAGAAGGGGAGCAGGTGTGACCCTCTGGTCCCTCTCTTCACAGGCCATCGATTACTACTTGAAGGCCCTTCGGTCACTAGGCACAAGAGACGTGCACCCCGCGGTGTGGGACTCGGTCAATTGGGAGCTGTCCACCACTTACTTCACCATGGCGACCCTCCAGCAGGACTACGCCCCGCTGTCCAGAAAGGCTCAGGAGCAGGTCACTCCCAGATGCCCTCCCAGCACCATGGCCCTCAAGGGCCCCTCTTTGCCCCTCCTCAGATGAGGTCACTGTAGGCTTCCTCTGACCCTTCTGCCCCCTGTCCTGGTTCCTCTACTGGTGCTTCTGGTCTTTCCATGTTATCTGGTGTGTCTGGCCTGCACAGGGCTGCGGGGCTCTTCACGTCCACCTCGCAGGGCCTGGGGCAGAGCTGGTGGCCCTGGTGGAAGCCAAGCCAAGGCTCAAGGGAACGAGTGGGGTGGTTATCAAGGCATTTCAGCCTTGCTTGCAGGTTTGAGCACTTTTTAAGTGTTCACACGTAATCCTGGTATTTCTTAATAGGTCGAGAAGGAAGTTAGTGAAGCCATGATGAAATCTCTCAAATACTGCGATGTAGACATAGCGTCAGCCCGACAGCCGCTTTGCCAGTACCGGGCCGCGACGATCCATCACCGGCTGGCATCCATGTACCACAGTTGCCTGAGGAACCAGGTGAGCCTGCCCCTGAGGCCAACCAGGGGAGGGGAGCAGGGGGCGTAGTAGGGGGTCCTTTTTCCTCAATCCCTGCATCTCTGTGTTGTGGGCTGCTTACAGGTAGAGGTTGTGGAGAAAGTGATGTGGGTGGTTGTCTACTTGAGGCATTTATTTAGGTCACAAAAATGGCCTCATGGTTTCTTTTCGTGATCCCGTTGAATCGCCATAGTGTGTGAGGAAAGCTGGTAGCTCTTACCTCTGACCTTGCCCCTTCCCACGTCTTTCTTCAGAAATTGTTTTGAGACCTCAGGAGAAGCTAGTGCCCTCCAGTGACAGGACTTCACCTCCCCCAAGATGAGCTCATACTATGGCTGTGGGGCATTTAGGACCCAAGCAGGCCCTTTGTGTCTGTCCAGTGTGCGTTTCAATTGTGAGGTCTGGGATAGATGGCCATTTTCAGAACTCGCCTGCACTCAGTCATTATCATTCTCTTGGACAGTGTCTCCAAAGAAAAGTTTCTGTGTGTGGTTTCCCCTCCATGGATCAGCCTTAAAGGTTAGGACCCCACAGCCATACACACGTGCCCCCGCCCTCAGTTGTTCCAGATGGCTCTCGCATCACTTGGGAATTTAAGGCCCTGAATGTTACAGGCCCCTGACCACACTGGTTTTATTCCTAGCTTGGTTTAGGGCAGTAGATCCCAGGTAATTCTGATTTTTTTCCCAAAATGATTTTCTTCATGCATTTAAGTAGAACTGAGTGACAGGTAGGGAGTTTCCTTTGAGGCGAGAACATCACATGCAGAGATGCTGGAAGGGGAGGCCTGTGGTCAGTCTGACTGAGCCCTCCAGGCACTCCTCAGGCTACAGGGTCAGAAGCTGGGCCTTGGGATGACCCCATCGAGGGGGCTCTTCAGATGTTTTCTGGTTTGATTGGCGATCGGTCTCTCCCAGGGCTTTGTGACCTCCTCCGTGGAGGGTCCGAGCCGAGCGGTCACCGCTGCTTCTTCGGTTTCAGGTGGGGGACGAGCACCTGCGGAAGCAGCACCGAGTCTTGGCTGATCTCCACTACGGCAAGGCCGTGAAGCTCTTCCAGCTGCTCAAGGACGCTCCGTGTGAGCTGCTCCGGGTGCAGCTCGAGAGGGTGGCCTTTGCCGAGTTCCAGATGGCAAGTGAGTCTGGGCAGGTCATCACGGCCGTCCTCTGCCGGAGGTGGGCCATGGGGGAAGGGAAGGCCCATTCTTACATTGTCTGCAGGCCTGTTTTTTACCTGCTGCTCTGAAATGAAGCGACTATTTCTGATGCTCTCATAGTCTTCCAGTTATTGGGGCTAGTCCTCTGGGAGTCTTTGCCTGGCCCCTGAGTTATGCTCCACCCACACAGAATGGACATTGGTTGAGAACCGTCTCAGCCGCAGTCAGAGCTGACGACGTACCACCTCACAGGCTGTATCGGCCACTGCTTCTTTTTTTTGGCTTTGGAATACAGTTGATTTTTAGACACAATTAGGACGGCACATTAATTGTTTAGTGAGCTTTTTGTGTACGTGGTTTAGGTCAGAATTCCTGCAGATAGATGACCTTTGAAGAGGGAAAGAGAGGGCTTTTACTGTATACACAGCAGCAGCCTATTTCATGCCACTCTGGATCCGTTGATTTGATTTCCATAAACGTGCTTCAGGGTTGTGAGGGTGCCACGGAGTCGTGGGAGCCAGATCTCCTTGGACCACAGACTGACTGTGTGAGCCTGGGCATGTCATTTACACCTTGGTCCTCTTGCAGCTCTCGAAGACTCTAGATTGTGGAGAAGGTGCTGACTCTTCCCCCCGGGAGGCTCCGTCCCTATCCCTGTCCTACAGTTGGGATGGGAAGGTTTTTACACTCCTTGTTGATCTTCCGTGACCTTGAACTGTGTGTGATTCTTTGCTAGAAAGTTCTCTGAGTTGGTGAATCACAGCATTGGAGAGGCAGCAGGGACCTTGGCCGCCATCTTGGCTAACCCGGCTACCACATGCAGCCTCTGGAAGGGGAAAACCTCTGAGTTGGGGTAACCTGTAGCCCTTCAGGGCGATCCATCGCCATTCCTGATGTCAAGTCTAAATTTGCCTTGGCGACATCCACTTGTTTTTCCTCTGGGGCCTCGTGCCTTGTCATGCCTGAGCACAGCTCTCAGCCTTCTGAATGTGCCCAGTTCTTTCAGCCGGGCTTCGCGACATGGCCTGGAGATCCTGGCCCATCCTTCCTCAGTGGCACAATCTGTCCTCCATGCCTAGAATGCCTTCCCTTATCCATCTCTTAGAATCCCTACTGTGCGTCAAAGCGCAATTCAGACAACAGGCACCTCCGCCAAGCACCGTGTTAAGCACTCGATGCACAGAGACATGGCTGAACCAGCCCCTGCCCTCTGGGAGCTTACAGTCTACAGTAGAACACTCCATCGAGAGACAAAATGATCTCGGGGCACCGGCAGCGAGGGGAGGCAGGAAGGTTTCCTGTAGAATTAGTGACTGAGTAAGGAGGGAGAGTGTTCTGGGCTGTTCTGACACATAGTAAGGGCTTTGTGAAGACTGGTTGATTTTCACTTGTGTGTCGTTGGTCCCAAGGAAGACTGGTTACGAGTGAAGAGGGTTTAGCACAGAAATGTCGTCCCAGTGAAAACTGCTGAGAACAGACCCTCTCCTGACTAGGGTCCCTTCTCTGGTGGATGAAGTGTGCCATGGGCCCAACGGCCCACGGGATTGACTGTGGCCTGAGAGCTAGCGCAGAGCTTGGGGAATGGGTTAGCTCAGAGAAGGTCCACGGGTTTAAACCTGGCCTACCGTGGCGACCTCGCCTCTGTGGCTTTAGTACCCGTGAGGGCCGGGAGGGCGGCAAGCTTCCTCACCTCTTCTGTGACTTTGATCGATCCTTGGGAGCCCAGAGCTCACATTTATCTCTCCCCTTTGCCCCTTACCTTATTTTCTGCTTTCCTCAGTTTGCCCCGTTCATTGAAGCCTTCCCTCCTAGGCATCTCTAGGCACCGCTGGACTCTGTTTTGTTCTTGTAACGTAAGGCATTTAGCCATTCTCCATCAGGTTTAATTCATTCACTGGCTCCTGCAATCCCCATACGATGCCATGTTGTCATAACCTAGGTCAGGAAAACTGAGGTAACCCACTTGTGTCTAATATTGTAGGTCAGAACAGCAGTGCGGGCAAATTGAAGACCTTGTCTGGTGCCCTGGACATAATGATGAAAGCTGAGTGTGCGTTCCAGCTGATCAGAAAGGAGCTCACCGATGAGTGTGACCAGGTCAGTGTGGCGCTGTCTAAACACTAGGGGGCACGGAGGGCAGCTGGCCAGGCTCTCCTGGGTGTGGGCGGCTGGGCAGCTGTGAGGGGCGGCCCCTACTTGGCAGATGACAATGAAAGCTGAACAGTAGGCCAGAACAACTCTGACTTTGCCCTTTCGTGCCGTGGAAATGAGTGGGTTTGCTCTTTAAAAAGAGGAAACCTCCCAGGAAGCCAGCCGATTGATGGCCTTCTCAATAGGCTGGCTGCTGTTCCCCAGGTCACGGTCCTTTCTGTTTGGACCCTCCCCTTCGGAAGGGATCCTGGCCCTCATTTCCCATCACCACAGACTTGAGTCTTTTGAGAGGTTTTGATTACTTTGGCTTTATACTCTGCACTCCCAATTGGATTTTTCTTCCATTTTATTTTATTTAGATAATAGCTTCTTGGAAACAGTCCTTAAAAAACCCTTAATCCTAGATCAAAGTTACAAATGACTTACAAAAGTAATTACACAGCTGGTATGATTTGATCCGATAAAAATCAAAGTGCAGATTTCTATATTGGAGATAAATCTTACTTTGCGGGCAGATTGTGTCTGGGAGATGAGCAGCAGAGGTGCTCATCCGTCTCCGAAGAAGACGATTTGGCTTGTGAATGGGCCCTTCAACTTGCTGCTTGCTTCCTCTAACGTCCCTTGCAGGGATGATGATGCTCGTTGTCGATGTGACTTCTGACTGATATCATTCAGAAGCAGCAGCTGTAGGTTTTTATGGATTAAATTGATTCCCAGCTACTAAGGAAAATGCTGGGAAGGTCATTCTAATGAATAAACGAATGAAGCATTTGCTCAGTGTTCACTGTGTGCCGAGCACTGTTCTTTTTAAGCATTTGCTTTGCAGATGTTAGTAACGTGTTTTGCAAGCCACGTTTTACCAAATCAGCCACGTCTAGTGGTGCCTAGACAGACCTTTGCCGCAGGCATCCGTGGTCCTGAGGGTCACAGATGGGGTCAATCGTGTCCGACTCTTCATGACCCCACTTGGGGCTTTCTCGGCAGAGACACGAGAGCACTTTGCCGTTTCCTTCTGGGCTCATTTTTACAGATGAAGAAACTGAGGCAAACAGGGTTCAGCGCCTTGCCCAGGGTCACACAGCTAGTGAGTGTCTGAGGCTGGATTTGATCTCAGGTCTTCTTGACCCCAGGGCTGCGCTCTATCCACTGCACCACCTAGCGCCTTCACGGTTTGGTGGGGAAAGGCATTTTCGTTATTTTGAAAGCCATTGCGTAAAGTATGTCATTGTGGTACATTTAGTGATCCTTTGAAAAATGCTCAAGCCTTGACTGGACAGAGCTGAGATCTCAGACCCAAAGTTAGGGCAAAGAGGTGCCAGCATAGCCTGGGCAGGCAGCCCTGGGAGCTGGGGACCCGTTCTGACTAGGGTCGGGGATGGGAGTCCTGACCCGGACCATGGTGTGGACGTGTTGGGGTCCGGCTCCTTCTGTCAGTAGTTGTTACGTCCTCATTATGTGTGAGGCGTCTTAGGGATCTTCTGATGAAATGATCTCATGTCGAGGCTCTCCAAACACCCTCCTCAGAGAAGTTATCCCAATGGTGACCCACCCCTCTGGCCCCCCCCACCAAAATTCTTTAGTTTGACAAACTGATTGTGGCAAAACGAGTCGCCATCGTCCTTGACAGAAACTCCCCTCCTGAGAAACAGGCAGGGGAATGACGAGGGGTGGCTGCCACAGCGGCCCCACCCCCAGGAGATGCAGGAGGTGGGAAGTCACAGGCGCTTCCTTCCTCCGTCCTGGCGCTGGACATAGACTTGGTCGTGAACAGTTGTCCTGTGTGTTCCTGTCCCTCGGAATCCAGACCACACAGAGCTGACGGAATGACTCTTTCCTTGCAGGTCAAGAGTGAGGAGAGTGGCCCGGCCCCCGACCCCTCGGCCGCAAGCCTCCACCGAGAAGAGGTCGTGAAGCTGCTCAGCATCTTTGAGTCGCGCCTGGCCTTCCTCCTGCTGCAGTCCATCAAGCTCCTGTCTTCGGCCAAGAAGAGAGCAAGGTCAGTGGAGGCGCGTGGGCAGAGCTTTCTCCAAGCCTGTGGCTCTTCCCTTCCTTTTAGGAAGCTGTTTTGGGCTGAGGCTGACCCCCTCCCCAAAGGGCCAGCTGGTCAGGGCGGGCGGCCAGAGAGCTTTCATCTACCCTCACAGGGAGCAAATTAACTTCACATTTACCAGTGATTTCTGTGGAAGTTGTGTTGTTTCCCAACAACCCTCTGGACCCTAGCATTGTCTCTGAGACAGACTTTCTGACAAGCCTGAGAGCTGGATCTAACGTATTTACTCCCTAGGTGACATTAAAAGAAAGGTTTTGCCAGTGCCCTTTCATCCCCGTGTAATGAAGAAAATAATTGATGTAGTGGTTTATGCTTTGCAGAGCCCTTGATCAAAGTTAGCTCATTGGAGCCTCACACTAGCTCTGTGGAGTTGGTAGGACAGATTCATGCCCATTTTACAGATGACTCTGGTGGTTAAATGACGTGCCTTGGGTTGCACAACCAGTGGGTGTTCGAGTGGGATTTAGACTCAGATATCCCCAGCTCTGGGCCCAGCACTTGTTACCTCACAGTCCCGGCTGTTCTCTGTGTCCAGGCTGACATGGACACCGTCCAGTTGTTTGTGAGCTCTAGAGACAGCCTCCGTGTGGTGTTGGCCTGGGGCGGGTGAGCCTGAGCGCGGCTGGGTCCCTCCAGCTCTTGGTGCTTGCAGAGTCTAAAGGTGGTGGCGGCGGCGGTGAATAGCGTGTGTAAGGACGTGCAGCTGGCAGAGATCCCACTGCTCCTCTGGCCAGCCAGGTGCCCACGAGGGGCTCAGCTCATTGTCTTTTTTCGTTTCCACAAGATGGCGCCAGTCTCCATTGTGATGTTTGGCTAAAGTTCAGGTCTCCCATCCCATTTCTTGTTTTCTCAGGGATTTTCCTTGGGGGAGGGTGGGCTTTTTTTTGAGGTTGCTGAAAGTCTGTTTCAGTTCTCTGCCGGACACAGAAATTCTGGTTTAGCTCATTTGTGCTGATTTTGTCCAAGGTTTGCTAAGTAAGCTCAGACTGTTCATAGGATCCTTTTCTTTGGACAATGAGTGCATCTACGTGTTATTTCAGGAGTTTGAATATTGCAGGGAGAAGCTTGGTTGCTCACCAACATTTTTCTTCATTAACATTCAAGTGAACACTAGCAATAATTCTGGTCCTTCGGGAGGGACAAGTGTCCCTCGTGAGCCTCTGGATGGGTTAGGGGAGGGGGCTGCTTGAAGGGGAGCAGGCCCGATTGACCCCACCAGACTCGGCAGCATCCGTGCAGAGCCAGGGCCTCGGGGAAAGCAGGGCAGTCGGCTGCTGTCGTGACACTTGAATACTTTGTCTCTTTTCCTCTTTGCTACTGGTTTTGTGGGACAGAGAGCCTCAGCCCTGGTGCCTACTGAGCGAGGCATCTTGTTGCTTTTAGCTAGTTAATTCAGACATTTCTGTGGCACTTGCAGCTAAGCCAGTCTGTGAAAAGTGGGTGTTGCCATCGCTGTTCGTGTTGTTAAAATGCTCTCTCTTCTGGCAGATTTTCATTTGTTTTTGCAAAATGTATTAATGCTCAGTGTTCAGCAGATCACTTGGAGACGGCTAGACCTTCTGGTGGCTTTGGGGTTTGTTTCTGTAACAAAACACTGTCACAGTAAATGCAGGTGACCTCCGAGGTAGTAACTGTCCTGGAGAGGTCTCCATGGAGGAGGCAAGATTCCATGGGTTTCATCTTGGAGAGACCTGAAAACTTAGGGTTTGGTCAGATTAGCGGGAAGAAAACGCTCAGAACGTCAGCTCCTTGTCTTCTCCAGAAAGACCATCAGACAACAATAACATCCTTCTGCATATTTTAATGAAACTGTTGATGTACGTTAGTCAGGCTCAAGAGCTAGTTGTTGAACTGAAAAGCTAAAAGCGTGATCGGAGGCAGACTGGGCCCTCTGGCTCAGACGAGGCCGCCGGAAGGGGGCTCGTGGGCCTGGTTTTGTGGTGATGTCCGCTTACCAGTGAGAATGGATTCTGGTTGCAGTCTGAGCTGCTAAGGGAATTCCATGGTCAGCCAGCCAGAATGACCCATCGACTTTAGGGTTCTGGCCACTTCACCAGATTCCAGCTCTTCTGTGCTATTCTTGTAATTATAGGAGTGTGGATATCCTTTGTTTAACATGAACCGTAAGACCAAAAGTCCATCCTTGGTATTTTCTTGTGGCAGCATGATGTGACGGGAGGAATGTGGGCAGAGGTCCCGGGTCACTGTCCAGTTTTGCCATTCGCTTCCTGGCTACTTAGGACCTTGGGCACATCGCTGTGAGAGGGAGAGAGTGCAACTAGGTGACCTCTGAGGTCCCTGACCCGTTGATCATCAGTCC